CACACACACACACACACACACACACACACACACACACGCATGCACGCACGCGCACACACACCTGTGTGGTGTGCTGGTAAAGCTCTCACACACTGTGCCTTCTCACTCGGCAGGGGGGTCAGGACACAGGGACTCCTCTTTGTAAAGGGCTTCACAGGTCACAGCCGCAGATTTAAACCTCAGGGCCATGTTCTTCCATCTCTTCACTCTACCTGTCTTGCTCTCTACCCGACCATACCATCAGTCCATATCTGTGACTCAATCCTTCCCATCCCCCAAGGTTCAGCTTAGCTGGCTTCTATGAAACGTTTCTCATTTCTTCCTCTTCATTACATTTTCTGCCAGACCTGGTGGTGTGAGCTTGTGATCCCATTTGCTTGGTGGGTTAAGGGAGGAGAATGGAAAATTCAAGGCCCCGAGTTCAGGTACAGTCTGGGCAACCCAGAAAGGCTTCGGCTCAAAATAAAAGTAGGGAGGGGGCCACAACCCAGTGTAGAGCGCTTTCCTGGCATCATGAGGCCTGGGTTCAACTCCTAGTACTACTTTCTGTAATTCCAAAAAGAGGTCCACTGAAGGCTGGAGGGATGGCTCAACAATTAAGAGTTTTTACTGCTCTTGCAGAGGAGCAGAGTTCAGTTCCCAACACCCACATTGGGAGACTTACAACTGTTCCAGGGGATCCTACACCCTCTTCCTAGGTACCCGCACACATGTACACAGACACACAAACACACATAATCAAGAATAAAAATTTAAATATACCTTAAATTAGGAAAGATGCACAACTGTAAAGATAAAAGCATGTACTATCTCACCTCCCCAAGCTTCCTGTCTTTTTCATTTTGTATGTTTGTGTATCATCTTCCTCAAAATTCTCTAGTACTTTGTCTGGTATCTTGTAAGTCTCTGACTTCTGTCTGTCCGTCTGATTGACCCTTCAGACTGTGAGTCCCTGCATGGCAGGCTTTGTGCCTTGATGCGCATAGCATGCAGAGTGGAGGCAGGCAAGGAGAAGCGAGTACTGCAGACAGAAGACAGTAAAGAGCTTGTCCAGCAACAGGAAGCCCGTACTGTACCATCCCAGCACCCAGGAAGCTGACATGTGGGTCCTGGAGTTTGCTGGACAGCCACACTAGCTGCATCAATGAGCTCCAGCTTATGATAGTCCCTGTCTGAAAATATAGGAAGTCACTCTGTGTGCATCTCTGACCTCTAACTGCATGTGCCAACATGTGCACATGCCTGCACGAACAAGTACATACAAAACACACGCATACACTCCAGCAGTCAGAAAATGCTTGCCAAGTGTACTGTTCTTTACTTTTTAGCTTAAAATATATACACAAAGCTTTAGTATGGTTCCTGCTAGAAACATAGGGTTACAACAGAAAGAGGAGGTGAACCCAGGTTAGCACCCCAGCTTCCCTTCTTTCTGACTCTGTTGCATGGAGCCTATTCTGCAACCCTGAGCCTCAATGTGCTCATCTGTAAAATGCAGTTGTAGGGGGAGACAGGAGTATGAGCACAAACTCCTTGGCACTGAGCATGGGAATGGCCAAGAACCCACCCCCACTTCCCTAATGATCAATATGCCTGCTAACAAGCTCCATTTATTACAGATCTGTCATGTGTTAAGCACTGCGGGGGCTGGAAAAGATGCTTTTCCTGCTTCTAAATCCCAACGGGCACTCCAGGCTCGCTCAGGCACTGATGGAGAGCAAGGCAGTCCATTAGGAGGGATAATTGAGCAGCCAGGATCAAGATGAACTGAGTCAAGGTTGAGTCAGCACTAGAGTGGGTGTGCTGAGTCCCCGGGGACCCCACGGAGATGCAGGCCACATCCTTTGCTGCTATGCAGGAAATCTCCTGAGAGAAACTCATCTGTGGCCGCAGAGCAGGGCTGTCAGCTCTGGTTTCTCTGTCCCATGTTAGCGATCTGTCTATGAATTGTCAGTCACAGCAGTCTGGTGGTTAGAGGCCTTAGGCTGCCTTGGGAGAAGGGGCAGGGACCACAAAGCCCAAAGGAACGGGTCAGGGACTGGTGATGACAAATGTGTCATGACCTCACTTGCTCCTGCCCCAGCCTATCAGGCTTTTGTCATTTTCTGGCTGTGTGACTTTGAGCAAGTTACTTAGCTTCTCGGAGCCTTAATATATCTGCAAAATAGAGTTGGGAAATCAAAACAAACCTCCATGTGGTTACTTTTTACATAAAACATGATTACTCTGGGGCTGGAAAGATGACTTAGAAGTTAAGAGCCCTGGCTGCTCTTCCAGAGGACCCAGGTTCTGTTCCCAGCACCCACATGGCAGCTCACACCTGTCATAGCTCACATCTGTAACTCCAGTTCTAGGGCATACAACCTTCTTCTGACCTCTGGGGTTAGCAGGTATGCACATGGTAAACAGACTTACACCCAGGTTAAATACCCATATAAATAAATAACCATTCTATTACAGCATTTATCAGTACTTATAAAAAGCTCAATACACAAAGGCTGCCTTCAGCATTATTAAAATAAGATAACTGTGCAGCTACAGTCCCAGCATCTGGTGGGAGCAGGCACATCAGGAGTTCAAGGTCATCTTTAGCTACAGAGCATATTTGAGGTCAGTCTGAGCTGTGTGAGGCCCTGTCTAGAAGTACTACTAATTTAGTGATTGTAATCATCAATGAATTTGAATACAGAGAAGGGGCACACGTGTAGGCCACAGTGCACATTTCATTGGTGGAAGATGTTTCTGGAAGGTTGAGAGGTGTTGGCTGGGACAGGAGAAAGACCACAGAAAAATGTGGCCTCAAGATTCAGATCACTGTTTTCCAAAGTTGCCCCTTACTGTGAGAGGATTCACATCCCTGCACTGACAGATTCAAGAAAACCTGGGGTATAAACCACCTACCGTGCACACAGACATCTTCTACGTTTTAAAAACAGTTGCTCCAATTATTTCTGATCTGCTATCAGATTCTGCAGTTTGAGAAGCACTGTGTGCTGTGGTGACTGTCACATTCCCTCCCTGAGCTCATTGTCCTGGGTATAAAACCACCGTGGTGCCCAGCCAACCTCACGCCCCAGGTCAATGCCAGGAGAGCAGCTGAGCCTGTCCTGTTTGGGGGTTACACAGCCAAGTGCAGAGATTGAGATGAGTCAGTTCTGCACCCAGGAAGCCACCCGGGCCCTAGAAAGGGTGGGAGGTGGGAGGTGTAGGGACTGCTTCTCCGTGAAGCTCCAGTGTGATGGAAGGCAACAGAAAATAACTGGTGTTCATCTTTCTTTTTGACCCAGCAGCCTTCCGGACAGTGAGGGAGAAGACCCCAGGTACTGCTTCTGGACAGGGTTGGCATGGGTGAGGTGGGGTGGCCTGTGGGTGAGAATGCTAAGTGTGAATCCAAGGTTGTGTGGTCACATGTTCTCAGAGGCATGAGGCTAATCCATGCAGCCTTGATGAAGGCAAAACATGGTTTGCAGAGAGGAGGAAAGAATCTCAGATGTGACAATGTTGTGTACCCATCTCAAGGGTCAAGCACATACACAGGTACCTGTCACCTGTGGTATTATAATACCATGATGAGAGGAGAATGGCGGTACATGCCTTTATCCCAGGACTCAGGAGGCAGATATAGGCCGATTGCTATGAGTTTAGGGCCAACCTGCTCTACACAGTGAGTTCCAGGCCAGCCAGGGCTACATGGGGAGAACCGGTCTCTAAAACAAACAACAATCAAAAAAATCATAATGATTGTCACTGAAATCAATAAAACAGTTTCTTATAGAAAAAATAATTGTCCAAGCTGAAGATGTAGCTCAGTTGGTATATTGCTTGCCTAGCACAGTCCTGGGTTCAGTCCCCAGAACCACATAAACCCTGTATGGTTTTGCATACCTGATCAAATTGATCAGGGTATAGAGACAAGAGGGTCAGAAGTTCAAGATCATCTACATAGGGAATTGGACTCCAGCCTGGGTTAATAAGCCACTGCTGTCAGAAAGAGATGACAGGAGATAGATAGATAGATAGATAGATAGGTAGATAGATAGATAGATAGATAGATAGATAGATAGATAGATAGATATGTTATAGGTGAGTGTTTGCCAGGGGCCAGAGAGAGATACAGGAAAGGAGGTGTAACTGCTCATCACACAAGGAGGTTGGTTTGGGGGTGACCATGTTCTGGAAGTAGGTAGCAGTGCTGGCTGTGTAACCTTGCCAATAAACTTAAAACTACCAAATTAACATGCCAGGAGCCAGGGCTGATGGTGCACCTGTAATCCCAGCACCTAGGAGGTGAAGGCAGAAGGATCAGGAGTTCAAGGCCAGCCTAGAACACAAGAATACCTGCCTTTAATTTAAAATAAAAAGTGTAATAGGAAACCAAATAATTGGAAAACTATTTCTTGAAAAGCTCCAGGGATATGAGAAAAACCAAACCTGTCTATACACATCCCTCCGCTACACAGAAAATTCAGTCTTGTTCTCCTTTCCTGAGAACACAGGAGAAGCCTGGAGGCTGTGGGTATGGCTGGCAAGGGCCATCCTCTGTGGTGCAGCTCACCAGTCAACTAAGGCTTCCCCCCCCCCCGCCTCAGAGACACCTCCCTTCTGGAACTTTTCACCTTGTCTGCCACTTTGTCCCCACCATGGTGACAGCCCAGCCTCCCAAACCATAGTGATTGTATGACTTGAGCCAAAATCCAGATGTGGCATGTGAAAGTCCAGATGTGTCCAATGAGAATAAATTAATGGAGAGTTGGCACTGGAGCTGTTTGGAGCAGGCCAGAGTCCACCAGCACCAGTACCCATGTGACTCCTTGGCTGGTCCCCCTATTCTAAGACCCTCCTGGTGTGCCATGGGGCGGGGGCTGCAGTTCATGCTTGGAAACTTGCTCTCAGCTTCCCAGCTGCAGGTGGCCACCCACATGGTACACTATGGCCCAAGCTGGGTACAACCCTGTTAACCTGAGGCCTTGGCTTGCTCATTGAACCTTGTTTCAAGGCTAAGGCTGCAAAGCCTTCAGGTTCCTCCTCTGACCCAGGAAGTTTCCCCCCACGGAGCCTTTCCCCCATTCTCCCCCTTAAATGAACCAAGCACTGGACCTCTTCACACACCCACATGTTCAGGCAGTGAGGCTCACCAGGCTTACCACATACATCTAGAGCCATGCCTTACAGAACCACAAGGTAGAGTTTGAAGGAGCCAGAAATCTCCATGGGGGACCCAATCCATGATGGGGATGCTGACCTGTGTCTTTCCCCCTCTGCAGCATCCCAGAGCGGGAGACAGCGGCTGGCTCAGATATCAGGTACCGGTGCTGAGAATAGGTGCCTGACTGGCAGGCTTCCTCAAAGGGGTCCAGGAACTGTGGAGCCGTTGTGCCCTGGAAGCGGCTGTGGGTCCCAGGAAGAGCTCTGTGCTCCAGTGTGGTCCAGGAGTTGCCATACCTCTATAGATCACACTTCATTCTCCACAGCTCCTGGGGTGAGGGGAGTGGGAAGTAGGGCTTTGGAAATTACCAACCCGCTGAATGTGATTGCCTAGGCTCTGGTTCTGTAATAATGTCCTCTATGTAGAGTCCAGCAGCTGCTGAGAGAGCAGGGATCTGGGTAAGGAATTGCTTGGTTTGGTGACACTTGGGGATCCTCTCTGACTCGGGGTTGAGATGGGGCTGGTGAGGGCTAATGTAGGAGGATGAAAGTCTTGTACATAGCCACCTGAGGCTTGGGCTCTCTAGGGCTTCAGCCAGGCCTCAGAACACTGCTTGGTTCTCAGACGCAACCATGCCTGCAGAGTTTCTGTCATGTCTCCTCTGACCTGGGAGACTTTCCTCTAAAGCCTATGTCATGGGGGCCCTCCCCCACTCTCCTTTCTAATGAGCCAAGTCCTGGGTCTCTTCATATACCCATGTGGTCACCCAGTGAGGTTCCCAAGCCTGACTGTACCTAGACCCTCGTGTATGGCTGTAGGCTGGGTCCCTGCAATTAGAGACACAGAGCGGGGTTGGAGGAACGAGAGATCTTTTTGAAGGACTGAGACCATCAGGAAGAACATGACTTATGTTGCACAATACCGTCACAGATTCCTGTTACAGACCTCGCTATCACAGTACATTTGTCCTCTTGCCCCAGTCTAAGCCATTGGTTGGCCTGACAATTGCTCTAGAATGAGCCCCCAAGGAAGAGCCTCACCCTTATCACCAGTTTGTTCCAGGAGCAGAGGTCCCGTGGCCTACGCATCTCAGAAACCATGGCTGCTAAATGCCACTGTGGAGGAGAACATCACCTTCGAGAGTCCCTTCAATAAGCAGCGGTAACAGCCTCTGAGAGAGCGACTGGGGAGGGGTGGGTGTGGTCTTGGCAATTGTGGGCATCATAGATTCCAGCCAGCACCATCTAGTCCATCTGGAAAGGAATCAGATGTGCCTAGGTTCCAGCTGTCCCTTCTCGTGGATGAGAGGAAGCAGAAGATATTGCTGTCTTGTCTAGCTAGGACAGGAGTTGGGGCTGAACTATAGGCATGGTTAATCTTCTTGCATACACACACAAACAGAGAGAGAGAGAGAGAGAGAGAGAGAGAGCTCCTTGATGACAGTCATTGCCAGCATCCACTGATCACTTAGCGGTTGCCTCAGAAGGGCACCAGGTTCTCATACATGTGCTTGTCCCTGACACAGTAATACTCCTATGTCCATTTTGTGGATGAGGGCAGCAAGGTTCTAAGCTTAAGTAACTTAGCAAGGCCAGCCAGTAAATTACTGAAATTAGTCTCGAATCCAAAGCTGCCTAAGGATGTGTGTCACCAAGAAACTCTTATGTCTCCATGGATGCTGGCTGGCACCTGTGCAGGCTAAGAGCTGGCCAGAAAAGGATAAGAGCAGGCTAGGCAAATATTTGATCAGCCATCGTCATTACCACCTCCAAATAATCAGCAGTGTTTTTCCCAGCTGGTGCCCCAGCATGAGCTCTGGCTGCAGCATTCCTGCTGCTCAGGGACCATAAGCCCCCTCTCTTCCCTCACTCAGCCGATTTGCTCCCACACGATTTCATCCTTCAAATATTTAACTTGCCCCAGGCTGTGTGAGCGCTGACCTTAGCTCTTTCATATTCTCCTGGTGTTTGCTTGCACTAGGCAGGAAGTGCATTAAAGTCATTGCTCATTGGGGCCCAGCAACCCACAGACTAATGACCATACAAGGACTGAGGCCCCAGGCCAGTCAGATAACCCCCCCCCCATCCTTTCTCTCCAGGTACAAGAAGGTCATTGAAGCCTGCTCCCTGCAGCCAGACATAGACATCCTGCCCCATGGAGACCAGACTCAGATTGGGGAACGGGTTAGTCCCCATCCTGCTTCCTACCCATGTTTCCACTGTGCCTTGAGGTCCTTCTTAGGAAGAATGAATAATGGAATTGGATAAAGGAAAGGCTGAGGAGCTTCAAGTAGTATGAAATTGTAATGACCATTGTCCTGTATTGTGTGACTTCTCCTGGGGAGACATAAAGAAATCTGTTTGCACCAGATAGGGCACCAACAACAGACCAAAAACCAGTTCCATCCAAGTCTGTCTTAGTGAACCCGTAATTGTATTTGGGTTAATTAAAGAAATATGAGTGACTCCAAAGCCCACTCCAGCATGGGTTATTACCCATGGGTTATAGCATGGGTTATTATTTTCTGAGTTATTACTCAGAAAAGCTGCCTCCCTGCTGCAACCTGCACAACTTACTGCAGTGTAGCCAGTTGGAGCCTCTCCTCCACAGCAATTGCTTCTGCTGTTATAGCCATGGATCTTGTAAGTTTCAGAAGCTTTCCGAACCTTGTGAGTTTTCCTTACTTCCTGAATACTATAAGGTTCCTTAGCTCCCTGCATCTTATGAGTCTCCTTTCTCCATCCAGGAGAGAATGCTTCAGTTTGTAGGAATATTTACACAGCACCGTGGCTGATGGAAGAGGTCAGCCATCCCAGTCTGGGGGTGACTCCATCTCCTCATAGAACCCCAAGTGCACAGTGAGAACCTAAAGGGCTAAGGGCATGACCTTTTCCTCTCCTTTGATGACAGGGTATCAACTTGTCTGGTGGTCAGCGTCAGCGAATCAGTGTGGCCCGAGCTCTCTACCAGCACACCAATGTTGTCTTCTTGGTGAGTGTCCCAGCTGAAGCTTCCTTTGGACCCTGACCTCTGACTGCCTGGTTCCCTAACCATCATCATTATCAACAACAACCTCTCTAACCAGGAACAAACCTCTCTACTAGAGGTTTGTTCACTTAAAGAGAACTTTATCTCACTCATAGAGAAACTGAGGAGGCAGGCAAGGGTAGTGCTGATAACCCATTCCCATTGAGCCTTCCAATCACCTTGAGAGGAGGTGAGCTGTGGTTAGAGACTATCTCTCTAAAGGACAAAAGGGCAGCCCCAACTGTCAGGGTACACACACATGGAGTGTGTGACACTGCTTCCCAGCGTGTTCTCAGTTAGATGCTGCTAATTAATTACTGAGCTATTTCTCTAGGGAACTCAGGTTGGCCTCAGAACCCTTCTCAACACAGCACTCTAGCCATCAAACATGAGATAGAACTTGTCCACCTCTGTGTCATGTGCCTTGGTTGATACTGAAGAATCTTAAGACCCTTGAAGATTTGAAGTTTGATCAGGGAGACAGACTCACATACATGCAGGAAATACAGCTGGTTCAAAGCTAAGCTGTGTGGCCCAGACCATGAGACAGCTGTGATGGCCAGAGTGATCAGGGAGGGCTTCCTGGAAGAGAGCCTAGAAGAGTCAGTTAAACAAAAGGGATATGGGGCATTTAGACAAAGACTCAGCATACTCCACCTTAGCCCTCTGACCCTGGCTTTATTCTGTCTGCTGACCCCTCAACACACACAGCTCCCTCTTCTCAGACTTGACAGACTCAGCAGTTTATGAAATTCTAGATCATCCAAGGGCCCACCCGCTATTTAAACAACTATGGATAAGAGTCCAGTGGCTGCTTTCCTCCATTCATTAAGTCCATCGGTAACAGGCACAGGCACAGGGTATGAGCTCCTGGGGGCCTCCTGGGACAGAGGATGGGACATGGAGAGATGATCAGGGCAAGACACAGAAGGACTCGTGCTTGGGTGAGTGGTGGGTGGAAAGCAGTTCACCATGCAGAAGGCAGAACAGCATGTCACACAGAAGGAACAGCTCAGGCAAAGGCTAGAGTGACAGGCTCATTGGCAACCTGGAATGGAGGGAGCTTGGGAAGGACAGGTGAGAAGTGGAGCTCAAAGGGAGCCTAAGGACTGGAGAGGCCAGGTACTGAACTGCGAAGTTCAGGCTTCAGAGGAGATGGGTAGCCATGGATGGGCTCGGGGGACCAGAAGTGAATTGATAAGGTCTGTAAGTTAGACATTTGAGCCTCAGAGAGGTTAGGTAGGTAGTCCAAGGCCACAGAGGAACTCTGGAGACTTTGCCTCCCTCCACCCATCCCCCACGGTCCTTATCGTCTCTCACAGGATGACCCTTTCTCAGCTTTGGATGTCCATCTGAGTGACCACCTGATGCAGGCCCCTATCCTTGAGCTGCTCCGGGATGACAAGAGGACAGTGGTCCTGGTGACCCACAAGCTACAGTACCTGCCTCATGCAGACTGGGTAGGGACCACAGGGGACAGGCTGAGAGCAGGGTGTGTGGGGGTATGTGTAGTGTGTGTTTATGTATGTACATGGTATGTGTCTGTGTGGTGTATGTGTATTATGTGGTGTGTGTATGTTTGGGGTGTGTGTGTGTGTGTGTGTGTGTGTGTGTGTGTGTGTGATCTTCAACAGAATCAGTCATATAACCCAGCAGCAATGGCTGATGGCCACAAAGCACAAGACACCAGCGTTAGGGTGTATTGTGCAGGCTAGGAAATACTCATAGTCCAGAGTCTTGGTGTCACCTGGGCCTGCAGACATTCCCTGCCTGGCTTGGTTCCTTTCTGGTACACATTAGGCTAGCCTTGCCCAACCAGCTTCCCCTGGCTGTGGGTGCTCATGGGTAGATGGGAGAGCTGACTTCCCAGGCCACTGGTCTTTGGGGTGGAGCCTCAGTGAGATGCAGATGCTGGAAGGAAGGATGACAGTAGTCCTGCAGACAACACTCCCACACATTGTGGTAGTGTGGACCGCATGCTGACTAACCCCCAACCAGTTCTTCAATAGGTAGGACATAGTTACTCTCCATCTCATTGGGAATCACTTAATGCTAAGATAAAGATGATGGACCACCTCCCTACTCCTGTATCAAAATTTCCCTGGACAGAAGCCACAATCTGAGACCCTTTCTGAGCTTCAAGTCTGAGCCAGAGAGGCCTGTTAATTAATTTCTCTCAAAATAAACCTTCCTTGTGGAGTGAGAGCCTACTCCGGTATAAAAAAAGGCAAAGAAAAAAATCTGAAAGCTATTGAAACCGGTTAAACGGCTTCAGAAGGCAGTGTAGTTATAGTTGAGGATGACCCTGAGTCCAATAAGGCAGACATGGAGGTGCCTGTGTGTGCACAGGGCCCCAGTTAAGCTGGCACTACACGATGGTGTCATTGGGTGCATCAAACAGCCACACCCTCTCGGATTAACAAGCATGTTGCCACAGCTGACAGAACCTGCCATCTGGGGTGCATGCAATTGGCCGGCTCAGCATCTCAAAACAGATGCTGGTGGGTCCTGTGGGTAACCCGCCAATCCTGGCCAAGTTACACTCCTTAGTTCTGCAAAGGCACCCACTGAGAATGATGTTGGTGAGGGTGGGTTACCAGACCTCACAGCGCAGTAGATCAAGGGGGCCATCCCTCTGTCTCAGACTCCCCTACGCTAGCCAAACCTGTTCTGTGGCTGCCTTGGCAGATCATTGCTATGAAAGATGGCACCATTCAGAGGGAGGGGACACTCAAGGACTTCCAGAGGTCCGAATGCCAGCTCTTTGAGCATTGGAAGACCCTCATGAACCGGCAAGACCAAGAGCTGGAGAAGGTGAGGATACGGGGACCAGGCAGTCATCTCTAAACAGAAGGCCTGCCTGTCCTCACCATCCCCCAGGAAGTCTCCAAAAGGACACATGTAGGGTTGTCTTGAACTTGCTGTACCAGGGCAGAGCTGGCACCTGTGCAGGGACCCAGGACAGAGTCAGATGCACACAGATGCTCAGATACCATTTACCTTTCAGGCCTAGAGAAGCAGCTCAAACTAGCCAACAAAGGAAAGGGTTGCAGGGATAGTTCATGAAACCAGAAAGTCCCAGGAGAGTTGTGGCTTCACTTGTCACTGAGTCACCACCAGGATTCTGTTTCTGTCTGTTTCTTTGCTCCACTGCTCTCAAATAAGCCCCCAGAGCTGTTTCAGCAGCTCTGGGCTTTCCTTCTGCAACCAGAGAGTACTTCTCACTGATGAGAAGAGGCTACTAATTCGTCCAGTCATGGGCTCACCCGGATTGGATCGTTACAGCTAGGATGGTGGAATGTGAGGGTTAGCCAGTCCATGGTCATGTGCCCACTCGAGTTGCTTGCATCTCAGATACCAAGAACAGGAGAGAACCAGGTGTGGTGGTGCACACCTGTGATCCTAGACTAGGAGGGTGGTGGGATGAGGCAGGAGGATGGAGAGCTCAAGGCTGGTCTACACTACATAGACTTCCTCACACACACAAAGAAACTGTCTTCCTCTTCGATAGTAGGGTTCTGTTAGTTGATAAAGAGAAGATTAATCTGGCAAGATGAGCACATGCCCATTTGTACCCTCCCCAGAGTAGATACTGCCTGTAAGCCAGCCATCACTAGGGTAGTTGCCCCAGCATCTCCTTCCCCACAAGCACTCCCTAAAGACAGGCCAGGCTCCATCTGTTTTCAGGAGACAGTCATGGAGAGGAAAGCCTCAGAGCCATCTCAGGGCCTGCCCCGTGCCATGTCCTCCAGAGATGGCCTTCTGCTGGATGAGGAAGAGGAGGAAGGTATGGACCACCAGTCTGGGAGTGCAGTTAATACCCACAATGAGCTAGTGCTTTTGCTTATTGCTATCTCAAAATGCCTGACAAGAAGCAACCTTAGCAAAGGTTTATCGGGGCTTGCAGGACTAGGGATATAGTCTGTCGTGGCAGGAAAGGAGTGAGACTGATGGTCACATTGTGTCCATAGTCAGGAAGGAGAGAGCCATGAATGTTCAGCTCTCTTTCTCCTTTTTATTCAGTTTAGGCCCACAGCTCATGGAATGGCACTGCCCGTGATGGGCAGGTCTTCCCCCCTCAATTAACCTATTGCAGACAGCCCTCTCAGATTGTCTTACAGGTGGCTCCAGATGACTGTGAGCCATCACACAGAGAGAGCTAAAGCCCGGGGTTCTGGGCATGGTCAACTAGTGTGGTTTGATTAAGCTTCTTTCTTTTCTCTAAGTGCTTTCCTGTCTATAAGTGGGAATAAGATGTCCCTGGTTCATCTTCAGAGGGTTATGATCTGTGAAGCTACAGGGTGGGTTCTTGCAACCTACAGAGGAGGCAGCCGAGAGCGAGGAAGATGACAACTTATCTTCAGTGCTGCATCAGCGAGCTAAGATCCCCTGGAAAGCCTGCACTAAGTATTTGTCCTCTGCTGGCATTCTGCTCCTGTCACTGCTTGTCTTCTCCCAGCTGCTCAAGCACATGGTCTTGGTGGCCATTGATTATTGGCTGGCCAAGTGGACTGACAGTGTCCTAGTCCTGAGCCCTGCTGCCAGGAACTGTTCACTCAGCCAGGTATGACTGCAGCCCACGGCGGAGCTGGCAGAGAGGGGGGGGGCTGAGCCCCCTTACAGCCCCAGGCCCTCTCATTCTCGCCCCACTTAGGAATGTGCCCTGGACCAATCTGTCTATGCCATGGTATTCACCGTACTCTGCAGCCTGGGTATCGTGCTGTGCCTTGTCACCTCTGTCACTGTGGAGTGGACAGGACTGAAGGTGGCCAAGAGGCTGCACCGCAGCCTGCTCAACCGCATCATTCTGGCCCCCATGAGGTACTGCAGACCCAACCATACCAGTGCAGGTCACTGTGCTTGGAATTCCAAATCCCCCATCTATAAGCACAGATGATCTCTGTCACAGGCTTGAGGCAGGGGGTGTCAGTGTGTGTAGAAGTGCCCTTATTCAAGAAGCAGGGAGAATTGACATTTACTCAACAGACCCTGTGAGTATTTTACATGATTGGCTCATCTAACGGTCGCATCAGCCTTCAACATGAGCATCTGCAGGCTTCGGGTAAAGGTTAATTCCTTTCCCTCAGTGGTATAATCTGTCCATCTTAGCCCACAAGTTCTGCCTCCCTTCTCCTCTCCCTCCGCAGCCTGCATTTTCTGGCACTGAGAGCAGGATTAGCTGTTCAAAATGTCCTAATGAGATGGACTGGAACCCTGGAAGTGCCAGGTGTCAAGAAGCTGTAGCATCACACCTGATTGGCTGGCCAGCCTGATATGGAACCACATAGGCATACTGGTCATAGCTGCTCCCTGTCTGGCTACAGTTGTACTTCCAGCTTTGTTGTCTCTCTGTGGCCTGTGGACATGACGGCCTCATTGACCTACCCTCTGTTTGCCCCCAGTCTGAAGTTCAGAAGCTCTCTGGTTGGGTTGGGCCAACTCCAGTTCATAGCCAGAGTGCTGACAGCCAGCCTTGCCTCTCACTGTCAGCCAGTTGACAGGCTGTCCCCAGGGGCCTAGTCTCCTGGGAGAGGACTCTGTGTCCTGAGGGAACAGTTGCCAGATGAGTCAGGCCGAGGAGGTTATCAGTGACCACCTGTGAGTGAGGGAGGCAAATGGAAGCTAACACCTTTTTGAGTAGCTATAGGAATTCTCAAGGACACAAGCCAGGTATTTGCAGACCCACAATGGCAGCTGCTCCTAGGAAGCCTGACCCACAGATGGTTCTAGAGACATTTAAATCAAACAGCTGCCATCATTCCATAAACAAACTCAATCAATCAATAAATAATGGTTCTGCTTGCCTCTTAGATTCTTTGAGACCACACCCCTGGGGAGTATCCTGAACAGATTTTCATCCGACTGTAACACCATTGACCAGGTATCGACTCTGCATGCTTTCCCTGAGACCCTGGATGCTTTAACTCTTAGATGCTGGCCTCTCTGCATAGATGGTTAGAGCCCAGTGTGGGAGCCCAGTGTCCCTGGGTGGGGAGCCCAGAGTCCCTGTGTGGGGAGCCCAGTGTTCCTATTTGAGGGACACTGCCTCGGGGTCTGGAACCGCCCTTGAGGGCATAATAAGTCTGAAGGGAAAGCAAATCATTCTGGCTTCTGTCTAAGATTCCCTTGGCTCATTAGGGAAGGTTCCAAGACACTCTGACTATTCCCTTGGGTTCAGCCTATCTCCTTCATTGACTTACCTTGCTAGATGATAAGGAAACGGTCTTGGTTCCAGCCCTCAGAGAGCTTGCAGGGTAGCTGGACAGATACACAATGAGCATGCAGTAAAATGAGAGGCAAACATGGTGGCAAATAGCACTCCAGAGAGTCTAATACAGAAACGCCCCCACTGTCTCCCCTCATCTCCTCAGCACATCCCATCCACACTGGAGTGTCTGAGCCGATCCACGCTGCTCTGTGTCTCTGCCCTGACTGTCATCTCCTATGTCACACCCGTGTTCCTTGTGGCCCTCCTACCCCTGGCTGTTGTATGCTACTTCATCCAGAAGTACTTCCGAGTGGCGTCCAGGTGACAGCAGCATTCTCCTCTGGTGGGTGGAGGTAGGACCAGGGATGGGAGGTCCTTTGTGAAGGTGGTTTGGGACACTTGCCAGAGTCATCATCATAAAAGGCATAGAGTTGTGTTTTCCCAAAATTGAAAATAGAATTAGCATTAGAAATGGAGGAAATGGCTCCCCAACATATCACCTGTCAGCATACGCTCTATAGTTCATATCTCATTGTTTCCTTGGGAGATGTGCTAGTGCAAGGTGAGTACAATTTACTCATTTGTCCCCAGTGGTCCCCATGAGGATTGTATGATCCCAGGAGCCAAGCTGACTTAGGAATCAGGCTGGTCTCTAATGGGAACTCAAATGACACCTGATGGGAGAGGTGTGATGACTGGGGCTTGTGCAGCCACCCTAGGTTCTTAGGGTCATATCTGCCCTTGTGAAGGTAGGGCACACCATACACACACACACCTTTCCTACTCAAAATATTCTAGAAAATTCTCTAGAGAGTTCTTCCTAAAAGTGATTTTGTTGAACTCACTGATTCAAAAAATTAGAATGAAAACTTAAAGGGCCCTCTAGGCCACAATTACTCAAACTGCCAGTTGCCACCATCATCAAATCAATATCCTGATTCATAACTAGCATGTTAAAAACAGTGAGGCAGAACTGAGATCAGGAGTGGGTCGAGGTAGAGCACTTGCCTGCCATGCTCCAGGCATTGGGTTTCATCCCCAACACCATAAAAAATGTATAAGCATATGTATAATGTATATGTGCTTATATACACATACATGTGTGTGTATGTATGCATTCCATTTTGATCTATAACATAAATTATCAGACTGTATTTATAACAGCTCTGTGAAACTTTTGCTGTGGTCATGTAGACATGTGTTCTTATTGGTGATACAAAATGTACTTTTTACTTCAGGTGATGTGCATTAAAGTTAAGTACCTTTCCCTAGGACATATAGTTGGTAAGAAACAAGAGTAAAATACTGCTGGCAACAATAATCATTATGTTTAAATGCATTTTTTACCCGAATCACCTGCCCATAATAATCAACATTGATATAAAGGGATTTTTTGTCCAAATGGTCCAGAATTTCCAAACACCCAGCGGGGACATTCTGCACTGGCATTAGCAAAATGACAGTGTCTTTCCAGACATTATACCATGCTGTGCACTTTGCGTATTTCCACACACTGCAGAGCAAGCTGTAACACAAAGTTCTCTCTGCCAAGTAAGCCATGTTTGCCCCATTCCTGATGCCTGCCTCTTGGAACAGTGTCTAGGGAGCTGCTTCTTGTGTCCCAGCTGGCCTACCTGGCATTTGATGCATGACTATAGGGAGCAGGAGGCCCCTTGTTGCCATGGAGACCTGTAGCCTCCTCTCCTCCCCACCCCCTGGAACTAAATATTTAGAACCTGGCCTAGGATGCTCTGAGGCCTGTTGTGGTTCTTAGGAAACGAGGAGTTGAGACCGTCAAATCTGATCTTTGTGCTCCTTTGGCCAGCTGTCCCATATCCAGGGTGCACCCCTGTGAAATGGAATCAGCACCCCATGCTCCCATCTCTGTGCCAGGTGTGAGATGGACCCTGCCCAGGGTGACAGGACCTGGGCTTAGCAGGCTCTGTCGAAGCAGGCCACATAAACGTTTTGTTGTCTACGGTAGCATGATGGGGCCATCCCATCGTTGTCGCTCTCAGCAAGTGAGAAACTGAGGCTGGAAGAGGTGAAGCTGCCCAACCTGGTGGCTGTAGCTGCTGAGGCTGAGTGCGAGCTACCCTCCTAATCACTGTCCTCTGCCACAGGGACCTGCAGCAGCTGGATGACACAACGCAGCTCCCACTGCTCTCACACTTTGCTGAAACTGTGGAAGGACTCACCACCATCCGTGCCTTCAGGTACAAGCCCAGAGCACCACCACCACCACCACCCCCCTGGAGTGGAGTGGGGCTGGCCTAGTGGTCACAGGTCCTGAGACTCAAGTCAAAGGACCCTACTTAGGAAGGCCCAGAGCATACCCATCTAAGTCACACCTTAGGCCTTGGGCAATGTCCATTAGCAGGGCAGGCTATGTGGACTCCAGATGTAGACTCCTAGCCTTGCAGACAAGGTGCAGGCCTCTGTATTAAGGTAGGACATGACTGACCAACTTGGAACAAATATGGCTACACTGGCAAGGTCCTTACACCTAGAGCCAGCCCTGAAGCCCTTCCTTAATGTTCTGTTACCAAACACTGTGCTGAGAGCCACTTCTGTCCATTCTGCTGTGACCCGAGGGGCTGAGCATGATTCCCACTGCCCAGATAGGGAAACTGAGGCACCTGACCTCTCTGGGAAATGCCCCCACAAAGCCCAGGTTTGAGGCTACTCACCCATCTGACCCTCTGAGCAGCACTGGTGCCAGGCACTGGACATGTGCCACATGCCCCCAGCCCCAGAGGCATTTACAATCCTCATGGACCATGTGACACCGCTCTACCAGACATGGGAGCACAGAAGGGACATGGCCAGGGAAAGACTCTTAGAGGAACTGTTACAGAAGCTGTGACTCAGGGGACAGGTAAGAGTTCACCCACACGGGGGAATTTTCTGAAAGTTCAATGTCCCTGGCACCTCCTCACCACCCTGAGTGGTGATCTTGGGCTATCGGGGACTAGAGAAGACCCTTGCCCCTGACAGACAAATAGTGGTTGGGTCTCCTGGAGCCTCTGCCTCCCTCCCAACCAAACCAGAGACCCCTGACCCATGTAGTTGGACTCTCATCTCCAAGCTAACCCAGAGGGTAACAGGTTATTTTTAGAATAGCACAGCTGCATGGCATTAACCATGTGACACTAAGCCCTGTGTCAGGAGCAACCCTAGGACTTAAGGACCAACTGAGGGTCCAAGACTTTCATCTTTTCCCCTACCAGTATGTCCAAGATCAGCCCTAGGGGGTGCCCCAGGCTTTGGCACGCTCCTGGGGCAAATGGGTCTGTGGGAATTCACCTCTCAGATGTCATATGAGGAAAGCAGAGCAGAGCTGTGCCCTAGCCTGGGCTACATTACCTGGCTACCCCTTAGCCCCCACAAGCCTGTCCATCTCCACACAGCAGCCCCAAAGCCTGGCACAGGGCTCCAGACTCCAGACTCCAGACTCCAGCCGAGCTGCTTCACCTTTGGTCCTAGACTCTGCTCTAAGTTTTAAAACTGGTCCAGAGGCCCTTGGGATAGGCCTTGGCATCACAGACTGGCTTTTAAGTGGACTAGACTTCTGAGCATCACTACTCAGCCTCAGACCAAGGCCAGGGCTTGGACCGAGCCTGTGGTCAGCCACAGACCTGCTACTTAGTCCACACCCTGCTTGTGATGGTGAATAATTCCTAGATTTGAGTAGAAGACTTTTAATCACTGCTGTATGTGTCTAATTTCCTGGCTTTGGCCCAGAAGTCTACCCGTTGGAAGCTAACTAGCATTATTGACTTCACACTGGTGGAGTGCCAAGGGCTAAATACTGCACATGAGTTACTAACAGTCATCCTCACAGTAGCCACGTGACATAGGCATGAGCTTAAAACCCAGGCTGCTTGCCCTGGGCAGTGGTGTCAAGACAGCTTTTCATTGTTCATCATCATATGAGCACTTCTTGGTCCTGCCATACAAAAGCAAAATTAGAAGAAGTGGCTGAGAAGCCCAGCCCAGCTGCCCCCATAGAGGAGGCAGATCTGTCCAGAGAGATGCTGTGGGAACATGATGAGGCTGCAGCAGAAACAGCAGTTTCCACAGTGCCCTGCCCTGGGCTTGGTGTGGTCCAGAAGCCCTCAGACCCTGTTGAACATCAGTGTCCCCATGATGTTAGCCCATGATGGAACCTTGATCCTAACGTACTCATGGTGCTTGGATACCAGTCTGTCTTTGCACTGCTTTGGAGCTCTTTCCCAGTCCTTAGGTACAACTGTCACCTACCTCGAATTCCCTGTCATGCCCACAGGCCCTCAGACGCCATACACTCCTCCTCACCTTCTCTCAGGCACATATGCAGACACACACACACACACACACACACACACACACACACACCAACACCAACACCCACTTTCTCAAATCTTTCTCATGCCAAGATTCACACCTCAGTCCTGTCACCCACACACACATCCCCACCACTTGGCTATGCAATGCACACGCCCCTATACCTCAGAGATGCCCTTTACCATCTTCAGATGCATGTCCTCTGCCCAGAAATAATTCAAGAGCAAATCGTTTCA